TTTTTTGTCCCAAAAGCAAAACCAAGGATTTTAGGTAATTGTGAATTTTGGTAGTTGTGAAGTTGTAAAGTAATAGGAGCACCAGTACTTGCCTGCAAAGAGCAGCAAGTCCTCCCGGATTTGAGCTCTCCCAAATCTGAAAACCTTGGCCTGAGGAAGGAGCACCAGTACTTGTCTGTTGGGGGCAGCAAGTCCTCCCAGACTGTCTTTTTGGGGGGATGGTAAGTTCTGAGAGACTGTTTTGCCCCCAGTCCAAAAACCGTGGACTGAGAGTTCCCCCTGAGGGGCACATACTTTGAATAGGGAGCCAAAGTCTCCCCCAGACACCTTTTTCTGTCTGCAAACTGATAGCTTGTTGACCCGACTAAGCCAAAGTGTGAGAACCCCACATTGGAAGGGGAAACATGGGAAGCTGTAGTTCAAGGGTCCTGAGTGGAACACCCTTGGGCGTGTTGTTGGAGGCTTGGGATTGAAGGAAATAAATATTAAGTTACTCTTTATAATAGAATTAGAAATATTAGGTGCATTATTAAGCTGTGTTGTCTTTGTTGCCGTTTCCTAACCACAAAGTATGTTCAGTTAAACAAAACGTGCTGGATAGTTGCAGGCTTCTTAGAAAACAGGAACATCCGCCCAAGGCGAAGCTACACGTAAACAAGATAAGATATCTGGTGCCTAGGAAGAAACGTTCAAGCCGACCCTTTACCTTATGGCTTAGAGATAATAAGGGGAGTGGGGAGGGCTTATTAGGTGTGGCATGCATTGTGTAGAGTGTATAAAATGTATTGTTTGACCATTAGATCTTGCTCTTCTTGTACCCAATCCACTTTGGAAGAGATTTGAACGCCCGTTTGCAAACGCTTATTTTCTTTAATAAACCTTTGAATTGTGAACCAGACCTGTCTCTGTATTGTGAGTATTAAATAATTCGGGTCTTACATCTCACAAGATGAACGGCAGAAGCCGGTCCTAGCTGGTATGGAAAAGAGAAAAGGAAAGGAAAAAAAGCAAAATGTGTATGTAGATAATGGGCTTTGCCAAGGGATGCAGGAAGACCAATTTGGTTAAATAAAGGTACTTAAAAGGGCAATATAAAAACAGGACCACATGGGGTTTTGTTTGTTTGTCTGTCTTTTTCTCGGTCTTCTATGTAACCATGTAGTTTGTTCCTTCGGATTTGTGCCTTCCCCAATTTAACTGAGATGCATTGTGGGAATGATCAGTGTGTGTAAACTTCAGTTTTGTTTTTTTGACCGTGTGTGTGTGTGCCTGTGTGTGTCTAAGTCTTTGTGTCCTCGAGGTAAATGTTGCAATAGTTAAGTGTGTCTGATCCCTTCAGATATGAATTTTAAATTGTTAAAAAAGTTAAAAGCACCGAGAGAAAATGTCTTCTCCCAGGCTAGCCTGGCCAGCTGGACAGAGTGAAGAACACAGAGTTAAATTTTCTTTCCTCTCTGTGCTTTTAAGAAAAACCCAAGGTTATTAGCAAATGTTTTAAGTTCATTTACAAGGAAATTTTCATCCTTGCATTTACTATGTATATAAATGATTTTACCTGATCATTTTCCCCGAAGTATGTAAATCCAGTTTTTTTTCCTTTCTCATGTTATGTCTCCATTTTATTGAAATTGATTTATCTGTTTAGTAACTGCAATACTGATGTGTTGTTTTTTTTCTCAAACCCTGCCTGAAACTATCTACCCCCCCACCCACAGTCTCTAATTCTTTTACAATGTGTTTCCTGGTAGAATCACCAACAAAGGGGGGAGGGGACCTTCTTCTTCTGTCTTTCAGCCCTGCAACATGTGGAAACAGATGCTACCCTCTAGAGACATTGGATCTAGTCCTCCACTGAAAGTTATCACAGCAATCAGAGTGAAGCAGACCTTCCCAAGCCTGAGTGACCACCTCACTGTGACTGTGACTCACAAATGATGCTGCCCAGTTGGCCAGTAAAGCAGGATATGTTGCACTGGTGGTCTCATGAGTAGAAGTCCCAGGGCTCATTGTGTGTAATTTTAAAAATACTAAATAGCCTGGATTGCACACTAACCTCAATTTGGCCTCACAAACTTTGGAAGCTAGCAGGTAGTGACCATAACCTTGGAAATGGGCAGCCTGTAATTTAAAGGCAAACAATAGTTGTGAAGAATGTAGGGGCTTGTGCTTACAACCTGACTGTACGCTCACAAAAAAAGTACATCAAAACATCTGAAAATTAATCAACATGAAAAATTGGATACTGTAAAAAAAAAAAACCCGAGAACGTTTCCCAGGCTCCTAGATCTTCATGGTTGAAAGCTTTTGGGAGCCACTGAAGGAATCCTTTTCTGTTGCTTCTTTATCAATGCCTCCCCTCTTTGCATCAAAAAAATTAAAAGCACCCATCAAGGATCGGATCATCTTTTTTTTTTTTTTTTTAAAAAGAGGGGTTATAGGAAGTTATCACCTACCCCTCTCCTAGAAAAATGAAATATCCCAGGAAATATTAAAAAGGCAGAATATTTCCCCTAAAAAGAGTAGAAACTCAGAAGCAAAAACTCAGCCCCCCCCCCTTTGCTAATAGGCCATTACTCTGGCCTAGGCCAGCCTATTTTACATAACAAAGATCTCCAAGTAGAGCTATAGGAATTGCCCAAACCCCTTTCATTATATCATCATCCAGCAACGCTCAAGCAAGCCTGGGACTCAGGACCTACAGAGTTGCCCCTGCATGGCCCCATGGGAGTCTGATAACCAATCAGAATACAAGCTCAAACTCAAATCCCAACTGAGGGTATATAAGGGACTCTCAGCATGTCAGCCTTCCTTCTTTTCCTTCATTTTGAAGCATGCAATCTTTTTTTTTCACTTTGGAGCTCCAACCCATGTGGTCCTGTCCACCATTAAACAATCTTTACAAACAGCCTCCATGTTTCCAGTGTCTTTTTCCTCACTTGGAACTGAACCCAGAAGGATAATTCTTCCAACACACCTATAATTTTAATCCTGAGAAAAGTTTGAATATAAGGAATTAGGACAGAATTCAGTCAATTTCTCACTTACACTTTCTGACTGGAATATCACAAATGAAATTCAATCCTTATCTAAACTCTTCAACTTTTGCCTCATGGATTTACTTGTGTGCACTAAGGAATGATTTATGCTTGAAGTAAAGATCACAGACTGGACATATGAAACATTTCCCCACGGCGTGAGTCCTCTGGTGTATTAACAAATAGGAATTCCTACTGAAAGATTTCCCACAATCAGGACATTCAAAAGGGTTTATCATCTGTGTGAGTCATCTGGTGTCTAATGAGATGGGAATTTGGACTAAAACATTTTCCACAGTCTAGACACTCAAATGGTTTCTCTCCTGTGTGAGTCCTCTGGTGTATTTCCAGGCAAGAATTGTGACTGAAACTTTTCCCACAATCAGGACATTCAAAGGGTTTCTCTGCTGTGTGAGTCCTCTGGTGTATTACCAGGTAGGTATTGCAAATAAAACTTTTCCCACAAATAGGACATTCAAAAGGTTTAATCTCTGGTGTGAGTCCTCTGGTGTCTCATGAGGTCAGAATTCTGACCAAAGCCTTTTCTACAGTCAGGACATTTAAAGTGTCTCTCTCCTGTGTGAGTCCTCTGGTGTTTCACCAGGCTGGAATTATCACTAAAACCTTTTCCACAGTCAGGACATTCAAAGGGTTTCTCTCCTGTGTGAATCCTCTGGTGTATTACCAGGTAGGAATTCCGACTGAAACTTTTCCCACAGTCAGGACAATCAAAGGGTTTCTCTCCTGTATGAGTCCTCTGGTGTTTCACCAGGGTGGAATTCTGACTGAAACTTTTCCCACAATCAGGACATTCAAAGGGTTTCTCTCCTGTGTGTGTCCTCTGGTGTTTCACCAGGGTGGAATTAACACTAAAACCTTTTCCACAGTCAGGACATTCATAGGGTTTCTCTCCTGTGTGAGTTCTCTGGTGTCTCATGAGGCTGAAATTTGTAATGAAAAATTTCCCACAATTAGGACATTCAAAGGGTTTTTCTCCTGTGTGAATCCTCTGGTGTATTACCAGGTAAGAATTGCGACTAAAACTTTTCCCACAAATAGGGCATTCAAAGGGCTTATCTTCTGTGTGAATCCTCTGGTGTATTACCAGGTAGGAATTGCGACTAAAACTTTTCCCACAAATAGGACATTCAAAGGGTTTATCTCC